CAGGAATCTAGTTGGGAGGAAGAAATTTAAACAATTAATATCCAGAGTATCAGTAGAACATCTTTCTTCTATGACTGAGAGACAGACAGATACAGGCCCTCTGCTGGTACTGACTGAGTACTGCGAGACGCTGTGGGACAGGTGTCGTTTAGGGACAAACGTTGTTACGCAACAACGCGTAATCTTCTAAGAAGCTCAAGAAACACTTATATTAATGTCCATTCGTCAATGGATCATAAATTTTGTCTTAGTCTCGTTGACGAAAATAATTTTTTATTTTCTGGAAAAACTTTTTTTGTGTTATCATCTCGTCATCGTCACGGGAAAAAGGGGCGTTGACGAAATATTTTCGTCATCGTCCTGGTTGAAAAAATTAACACTGCTCCCAACCCCATTTATAAGGCCAGAAATCCCACTTAATAAACCTGACAGACGACACCTGTGAAGGTAAACCATTTCAGGTGACGGCCTCTGGAAGCTCATCAAGAGAACGCCAAGAGTGAGTGAAGCAGTGATCAGAGCTAAAGGAGACTACTTTGAAAAACCTAGAATATAAGACATAGTTTCAGTTGTTTCACACTTTTTTGTTAAGTATATAATTCAACACGTGTTAATTCACAGTTTTGATGCCTTCAGTTTTCATAGTCATGAAAATAAAGAGAACTCTTTAAATGAGAAGGTTTGTATTGTATGTTTAGGCCTAAAATTGAAAGACTACATAGAAAGTTCAGCGTATGTCAGCATTTTAGAAGATTCTGGGACGTCGGGCAGATGCTGCTAAATTAGCAGGGTGTGACCGGGACCTCAAGGCCGGACTCTGACAGGAGAAGTTTGTTCTACTAATCATTAACAACTGGGAGCTCAGCTTCTGCAGCCGCACTAAAAACCCATCAATAAAATATCCCATTGTTTAAAAGATGTTATTTTTCTCAAATTTTTTTTTTACAGATTTATTTCTCAGCTAACTGCAGATTTTAAAATCTGGCAAACAAAAATCTGAACAACTACGAATAGTGGTTGAACTTTTTCATATCAATGAATCTCCCTTTTTTTATTTTTTCATCCAAACTTTCCTCTAAAACGTGTTTCTTTGTTCTGCGTAATCCTGGCAGTAATGTCTCCCCGTACGCGGAACGTGGCGCTGCGTCTCTTTAATCATCCTTCTGTTGTCCCGTTTGCTGCCATCAGAGCCATCCAGAAGCTGAACGGATATCAGCTGGAGAGCAATGCCCTGCGCGTCTCCTACATCCCCGACGAGACCTCCGACATGGACGGACAGCGGGGGACCGAGAACGGCCGTCGCCCCGGCTACGGGCCCCGCGGCGGACTCCGCGGCGGCTCCCCGAACTCGGGAATGCCACCCAAACCTCCGCACGCCGACATCCCCCTCAGGCTGCTGGTGCCCACCCAGTACGTTGGAGCCATCATCGGCAAGGAGGGAGCCACCATCCGCAACATCACCAAGCAGACGCAGAGCAAGTGGGTAACCATGATGCTTTGAAAGCGGGCTTAGCGACATCAACCCGCAGCCTGATGCCCATCTGTTTCCCTGCAGGATTGACGTCCACCGTAAGGAGAACGCCGGCGCCGCTGAGAAGCCCATCAGCATCCACTCCACGCCGGAAGGCTGCTCAGCCGCCTGCCGCATGATCCTGGAGATCATGCACCAGGAGGCCAAAGACACCAAGACGTAGGTTTGAGAGCCAGAGCTAAAGCAGCAGAACATGGCGCCCGACTGAGGGGCGGGGTTTGATGACGCCTGGCTTTGTTTTAGGGCGGATGAGGTCCCTCTGAAGGTTCTCGCCCACAACAACTTTGTCGGCCGGCTTATCGGGAAGGAAGGACGCAACCTGAAAAAAGTGGAGCAGGACACGGATACAAAGATAACCATCTCACCGTAAGCGGCGCACCATAACCACGACCACTGCAGCATCATAAAGTATTCACACCCCTCAGTCACGTTAAAACCAAAGCATTCATTTGATGAGGTTGATTTTACTCCTAAAAAAACCTGAAAAGTGTGGCATGCATTTTTCCTCAGGTGGCTCTGAACACACCGCGTCACAGAAAATCGTGCCTCAGAGGTTGTGGCGTTTAGCGCTAATTGAAAGTCCTGCAGGGGGCAGCGTAGCTCAGACTGAGATAGAGCCCAGGTCTGCTTTAGTCGGACGATGCAGCAATTCAGCAGCAAT